CAGTATGCACGAACCAACCTTGGGGAATGGGAATAATCAAAAGAAAGAAAAAAAAAATAACCGAGTCAGTAAGGGGTATTGAAAGAATGCTTGCAATATTAAACATAAATTTGCGTCCTAATTTGGGGGACCTTATTGTGCCAGAGGTAGGCCTAGCAACACATAGACTTGGAGAAAATTGATGCCAATAATTGTGTCATTCCATTAATGTGAAAATGAATCAAAACTTCACTAAAACAACAATAATAGGAGAGTTACGAATGGCATATGCCTTATTACAATCGAAATCTAGACTAAACTAGAAAGCAGTAAAACAACATTCCCCTAATCTATTCTATCTCAGAAAGACCTTCCCCGTGCTTGGCTCTTTTGACTCTGTCGATCAGATTCCCCAAGTCACGCATATCCAGCAATAGATAAGCCTTTTCTAGGAGCCCTCCTTCATTTCCATCCATGTTTTGACAGCCTGCAACCCTCTTTCTCATTTTCCCTTCAAGTTCCTTCAACCCTTGCTCCAGATATTCTAATCTCTCTATTGATCTAGTGGCAATTTCCCTTCATTTGTTGATTGCTTCCATATTCAATTTGTGTTGCTCTAGATGCCTAGCTTCAGATTCAAAGACCCTCTTGTGTAATCTCCTGTACTTGACTTGTGCTTCAGTAGCGTCATCTACGATCCTGTTTTTTAGATTAATTCCCGGCTTGACGTCTCCTGCTTTGTCATCTACTAGCCATGATGGATAGAAGTATGCATGACCGGCATGATATCTGTCTGGCTCAATAGTATCTTTTCCACAATGACCTTCTGATTCCACATATGTTGTGCCTCGAACTTGAATGGTATAATGTCCCCTTTAAGGCCTGCTTTGTACTGGACCATGTTGGAAACCCGAGGTATAACCTGTTTTCTTCCCGTTTGTCTCATTACCCTTATGGGAGCATAAGGATACATTCCCCTTAACCCAATTAGTACTAGATGAGTAGTCTCTCTTGACCTAATGATGAACTCACTACTAGGAAACCATTCGAACATCCGATGTACCTGCTCGTCCGTCAGATTGCTGAAGAAGCGCACCCAGCTCACAGCATTTCCAGGTTGTGCAAACCTATCTGAGATAAATGTCATTCTCTTTGGGTGATTGTAAGCTATATGGTCATTCAACTGTCGACGCAAGAGCTCTTATCGATACTCTCCTCTTTGAAAATGGTCTAGTAACCAAACTTGCAGTAGCAGATTACAACCCTCGAAGTGCCCGAACCCCTGCTTGCACCGATCTAGAGCGCGGTACATTTTAGCCAAGATCATGGGGATGAAAGTGTAGGTTTGTCCCTCAATGCCTCCCATTAAGGTCCTGGCGACTATGGCTAGACGAGTGTGGATCCTTCCCCCTTTCATCGAAAATATCAGCAACCCCAAGAAGGAGAGATGAAAACGTAGACTCGATAGTGCATCCAACCCGAGGAAGTAATGGCGAGTTCATCATGATGAAGGCGGTATGACTTGCTGTGCCCATAACGTTCATAAAGGAATTCAAATGGGATGTACGACTTCTTCAAACAAAGCAGTTCATCATTTTTCTTGAAACCTAGCATTTTCATAAAACTGCGAGGGGTGCGATTCTCTGGTACTAATAATCCGGGACTATACCACGGCAGATTAGCGAATCCTCCTATTTCCTCCAAGAGATGAGTCATTTCTATGTCACCGAAGCGGAAGACAACCCTCTTCTCATCCAAAAACATAGTAGTGGCCTCAATCAATGCTCTATTCGGTCGGATATCTAACAAAGACGGCAGATTACCAAGGACCCTTCCACATGATTCTTATCACTACGCGCGAGATTTTTCCACCAATCCAGCAACATAGGTGGGATGTTTTGGACCATGCCGAACCTGGGGACTTCGTGCTTCATTTTCTGCAAACAAATAAAGTTAGCCCTTTCCCTCTCCAGATTCGACTATTTACACACTAATGATCAACATATTGGCATACTTCTCCAAGTAATGCACGTAACGTGACGACGTCCATTGGGGATTGTGGAAATCCCGTCGGACTTTGGACAAGGCTTATCTTAGCGGGATATCATGTTGAAAACGTTTTTTAACTCCACCAGGCATTGTGCCTAGGGCTGATTTTCATATATAAACAATAAAATACAACAGTGGAGGGGGACATAAACCTGACCTCTGGAGATGAGAGCCACTTGGTCATCCTATTTTGACAACCAAGTGAACCATGCGTACTATTGTAAGTTAGACCTATAGTGATGTCCCAAGTATCTATCCAACTATGATAGTTACTTGGGTCTACAAAAACAAAAGCCTAGGTCAACTATACAAAGAAGTACTAGTGTTCCTAAATCTACTAAGCCAATGAGTTGGAAGATCATCTTCCGTATACAACAAATTCTACATCTATGAAAAGAGTAGAAAATCCCTATGCGGTGAGGCAAAATACATGTGAAGTGAGGGGAATTATCTTCAACCTTGCTTTGATATTGAGTTCAAAGAAAGCAAGGTTGAAGATAGCATACAAAAGGCCTAGAGAATTGGGCTTAGGAGATGTTGCTGTCTGATCCTGCTGAGAGGAGAGTGAACACATCTTCCACAATCCAAGAGAATCTTGCGCTTGCCAGTGGTTGCTTCTGACTTCTGGACCTGTGTTGCTGGGAAATACTGTGTGAGCAAGGCAAGAAAATTAGGTCTGGGCCCTTATGAGATTCCTGTTGAAGATATACAAGGGTGACATGTTGCTGAAGGTGTGCAGATAAGGAACTGTATAAGGGCAGCTTGTTTAGGTCTAGGCCCCTAAGTGATTTCTGCTACAGTTGGACTGAGGAAGGGGAAGCTGACTGGTGATGATGATTCTGTAGTGTTGCTGCCTTCTGATGTTGATTGTTGTGTGATAAAAAGGAGGAGCCATCTTGTAGCTTCTGATGACTGTGCTTGGTGTGCTTCTGAGGTTTGGTACTTGCACAAAGAGGTGTCCCAAATTGGATCGTGCATTGGGAAGCTTGGCTAAGATGGTGCAACTTCAGTAGAATGAGCATCCAAGATGCTGATACCATACACTGAAGTTGCAATAAGTGGCTAAGCTTTTTAGGTGTACCTACAAAATTGAATAAACCTGTTAGGAAAAGGGGAGCCATAAGGCTCTTTGTTTTGAGGAGATGACATTGTTTCCAAGTTCTTGTGGGTTCTGGATTCAGAGATTGTCTATGAGACGAGAGAGTGTGTGGGTAAAGAGGAGATCTAGAGAATGGTAGCATCTCTATTCCATGGTAAACACCTATTTGCAGGTTCTTGTGGGAGCTGTAATTAGATGCTTGCCTGTTATTATGACTGTGTAATTGAACAGATGAGAGTAGTGGCGAGTTGCAGTTTTGGGATGTGGGGTTTGCTGAGGGAGGTGGGTAGCAAGTCAGTAGGAAGTTGCATCACTGAAGTATGGAGAGTTGTCCATTTGTGTGGGCTGCCATAGAAGTTGCTACTTCTTTGATCTTGAATTTGGTGGACCTGGAAATTTCTCTCAATTGGTATGTTTCCAGGAGAATGAGCATCATAGATGATAATACCACACTCTGGAAATACACCAATTGATTAAACATGGAGATAGTGTTGAAACCTGCAAAAAAGAAAACAGAATTAGATATAAGTTGGACATTTCTGCCCAATTTTCTAGTTATGTCAGTATTGTGAGGTTCATGGCTGGTTGCACTCAGGTTCTTGTGTTTACTGGTGCTATTTGGAAGGGACTGAGAGGTTGGTGACTGATGGTTAAAGGTGTATGGTTGTTTCTGAGAAAGTTTCTGTGCATTCCTACATTTGGAGAGCGAGGAGGGGGTGTTGTTATAGGGGGACATAGGTAAGGATCTGGGGAGGTGTTGCTGTAGGAATACAATGGGGATACCCTGATCCAATATTGGGTATGACATGTGAGGGAGAGTTCTTATCTCCCAATGCCCTACACTAGTTCTTTGTTTAGCTTTCAATAAAATGAGCACCAATAGTGTTGATACCACACACTGAAGGAAAGACAATGAATTAGGCAGTTCACTAGGAGATATAACCTGCAAAAAATAGAAAAATGTTAGCATAGTGTGATGTTTGGTGAGGTAAATCAATGAACCTGCTTCCATATATCTAGAAATCTCAAGCGGTAGCATCAGAGTGGGGGTGTAGAAGGTGTGGTGGCATATGGATCCTGTTTGTTTTCTTGTGTCTGAAGGCAGGGGTGCCACTTTGATCCAAGCATATCTGATCCCTGATGTGAGAGGGGAGTTCCAACAAGCTGTGGTAATGAGTTTGTGAAGGAAGTGTGTGGCTAAGTTTAGAAAGAGCATCTGCACGACAGTTGGCTTCTCTGTAAACATGAGAGTAGTGGATGATTGTACAATTGGAGCACAAATCTCTAAGCTTCTAAATTTGCATACATAAGTTCCATGAGGGGGAGGAATTGTTGGTTAACCACTGAATCAGGAGGTTTGAGTATGTTTCTAGGTGAATCTTGGTATAACCATTCTCAATGCACCAATTTATCCCAATGTATGCAGCTAGAGCTTCTGCAAGGTTATTAGTGCCCTCACCTAAAAGGCTTGCTATGGTATAAATTAGGGCACCTTTATGATCTCTGATAATGACCCTAGCTCCAATTCTGCTAGGATTTGTCAGAGCACTGCCATCACTATTTACTTTTACAAAGTCAAGTTCAGGTTTAGTCCAAGTTACCTTAGTTACCTTAATGTGCTGGGAGAGGTTCTCAATGGTGTGGAAAGTATCTGGCCAATTTCTGGTCCATCTAGTGTTAGAGTGAGTGGTATGGAGAAGCAGCTGAATATCAGAGTCAATGGAATAACAGGTCCTAGTGATGGATGATCTTTTCCCCCCATATTTGGCATTGTATCTGTTCTTCCATAGGTTCCAACAAATGATGATGGGGAGGGTATCTAGAATGAGCTTTTGCAATGTGTAAGTTCTCTTCATCATGCCCCATATAATGATCAGTATTCTGAGAGGGACAGAATCAATTTGAAAGCAGTGGGGGCAGCATAGATTTTCCAAATTGCTTTGGCAAAGTGGCCAGTGCTGAAGATATGGTCCACTGTTTCAGCACTTGATTTGATGCACCATACATATTTAGTCACAGTAGGATGCCCAAATTTGGCAGTTCTATCGTCTGTAGGGAGCTTGTTTCTAAGTTCCCTCCATAAGAAAAAGGACCATTTGAAAGGAAGTTTTTTGTACCATGTCAATTTGTTGGTAAGCAGGATGGGCTTCTGATTTCTTAGCACATGCCAAGCTGATGCACGGGTGAAGTTGCCATTATCAGTTGGAGTCTAAATTGGTTTATGTGGGAGCTGCGGATTGTAGTGGATTGGTGTTTGGATGATGTCATGTATCATGTGAGCAGGGGCAAAGGAGTTGAGTTTCTAAAGATCCCAGGTGCCAGAGTTCCAGAAATAGGAAACTTGGACATTTCCAGGTCTACCTTCATGATGTCTGAAGCTAGCTAGATGCCCATTTCCTAACCAATTGTCCCACCAAAAACTAGAATTTCCTGAGTGCAATCTCCATAAAATAAAAGGCTCATCTTCCTTCTTATTTGTCATCATTTTTTCCATGATTGTGACTGGCCAAAGTTCCATTTTTTGAGATGGGGTGAGACCTGATAGTATTTAGCAGTAAGGAAGTTGCTCCATAAGGTCTGTTTAGTTCTAAACCACCACCATTATTTGAATTGTAGAGATTTGTAGACATCTTGAATAGTCCTAAATCCAATTCCTCCTTCCTCCTGAGGAAATGATAGTTTTTGCCATGAAGCCCAGTGATACTTATTTCTTTCCTTATCCATACCCCAGAAAAGGTTGGCTGTTAGCTTTTCAATTTGCTTCATCACTATTTTGGGAGGAGAAACTGCAGAGAGCAAATGGATGGGGATGGATTGTAGGACATGTTTGATCAATGTTGCTCTCCCACCATAGGATAGAAGCTTATCATGCCAACCTTTGATTCTACTCACAACATTGGTGACTAGGGAGCTGAAATGAGAAATTCTCTTTCTTCCTGTATAGAGAGGACATCCCAGGTAAGTGATTGGGGATTCTTTTTTGGAGAATCCTGTGACTTGTTGGACTCTCCTGATGGTACATTGAAAAGAACAAGGAGAAGTCATGAAATGACTTTTGCTTTTGTTGATCAACTGTCCAGAAGTGACTTCATAGGCCTGAAGGATTCCGTGATTTTCTGCAGCGAGGCTTTACTACCAGATATACAGATTATGATATCATCAGCAAAGCTCAAGTGTGTGATCTGAGGGCCTCTCTTTTCCACGTAAAAACATTGAAAAATTAGTCAAGAGTGAGATTGTTGAGCATTTTGGATAGAAGTTCAGCCCCTAGAATAAAAAGAGCAGGAGATAGGGGTCACCCTGCTTCAAACCTCTTGTAGAATGGAAGAACCACATCTTGTTCCATTGACAATGACTGAATACCAGTTGTTTGAGAGGATCCTCCATACCCTGTCAATTATCAATTCACTAAAACCCAGCCTTCACATCATGATGCAAGTAATCATATGCTTTTGCCAAATCTAATTTGATCGCAACATTGCCCCCTCTGTTTGGTTTTTTGATGCCTTGGACTATTTCTTGGGCAAGCATGATGTTTTTAGAGATACTCTTTCCTTTGACAAAACCAGTTTGGTTGGGGGAGATGATTTTAGTAGGTATTGGAGCAATTCTGGAAATTATAACTTTGGAAACAATTTTAGTGATGAAGTTGCTCAAGTTGATGGGTGTGAATTCAGAAAGGGAGTTAGGAAATTCTACCTTTGGAAGGAGGAATAGACAGGCTTGTGTCATGTACCTAGGCATTGAGTGTCCACAGAAGAAAGCTGTTACCACATTCAGGAGGTCATACTTGATAATTTCGCAGTAGTGTCGATAAAATTTACCATTAAGACCATCAGAACCAGCTGCACTATTAGGGTTCATTGATAATACCACCTCCTTGATTTCATCTAAGGTAGGTTCCTTATTGATGGATTCATTTTCTTCTTCATTGACTAGAGTTGGAATACATGAGAGAAGATCCTACTTGATCATGCCTCCAGGATCTGTGAACGGTTGCTGAAATTGTTCACAGGCAGCTTCCCCAATTGCATCATCTCCTTGAATCCACTAGGTTTAACCCGTACTAGGTTTAACATGATGCATGTACATTTGATATTGGAGTAAGGTTTCTAAAATGGCCTAGACTGGTACTCTCAAGTGGACAACTTGAGAGGGAAAGGCACGTGACCATCGACTGCACCGCTGATCGACTAGTCTACCGCTAATAAGCCTTTTCGATTTAAAAGGGTAATTTCGGAAGTGCGCTGACACTCATCAAGTGCCACTATGTTATTAATTGGGCATGAGTGGAATATGATGCAGAGCATGCTTTATGCAGAGATAATAACATGTTGCCAAGTATTTGCATGGTAAATATGTAAAAGCAATAAATACAATATTAAGGTAAAACATAATGACGTAAAAGAAAGACAAGGCAAGGAGTTAGTTCATAGAATATAGGGAAATGTAATAAAGTAAGCAAGGGAGTAGTGGTGGGAGAGATATGATGTAGCAATATTTAAACAAATGAAGAGCAGTTTAGAGCAGATAAAGGTGAATAGGAAAGGGATATGCATGTTATAACCAATTTAAGCAATGAAAGGGTGAGAAGGGAAGGGATTTGCATATTACTAAGATTCAAACAAGTAAAGGGAAAATAAAAGAGCGATGTGCATGTAACAATGAATTAGACAAATAAAAGGAAAATGGGAGAGGGATGTGCATGTAGCAGCAAATAAAACGGAAGAAGGAAGCACGTTTTATCAAAGAAAACTAATCCATGCAAGCCAAATTTTCTATGGTAAGAGCCTAAATGTATCCCCAGCAGAGTCTCCATGCTGTCGCGCCCCGTTTTTCTCGTGAAAGCGGGTTTCGACATTGACAACTCTTTTAAGGAGGTATTAAAAGAAGAGAGTCGCCACCTAATGATTTTTAAGGTGCATTAGGGCACCTATTTGCAAATGACTCTATTTTAACTAGTCAACGCCATCAAAGATCGGGTAAGGGCTCGAAATTACCTCGAGGAGAAGGTGTTAGGCACTTTTTGAGGTCCACAACTGTGGGTCCCAGCCGAACTTGAATTAAATGGATTAGTCAAATAAACAAAGAGAGAGAGAGAGAGCACAAAGTTTGGGAATTTTCTTATAAAAGATTTTGAATGGATGAGTACATCGACTTGATTCAAATAGAGGAGAAATAAGATGGGGGTCCTAAGTTTTTTAGCCTAAAGGATCACCCCGTGCAACATAAATAATACTTTGTAACTCCCAATGGGGTGTTACTCATATTATTCAGCGGGCACAGACTATCATCTCCTGCTACCCGATTACTATGTTAAAGTTGTTACCTAAAAGCGTTCTAATTTAATTATAGGTCGTACCCTATGTGTGCACTACCCGTCCCATACCTATGGTCCAGGAGGTATTGGAGCTCTATTTGGATGGTTCTAGACCTTACTTAGGCTGCTCAGAAATGTCAAAACTAGGCGATATACAAAAATACATTGGACTTCACAAATAGGCAGTTAAGGCTCAAATTCGCCTCCACACTTAAGCAATAAATGCACGCAAGACAAATTCTGTGTTAAGCAGTTCAGAATTATTAACTCAAATCCTATAGACATAATTTCTATGTGATAAATCATCAAGACATACAAGCGGTTTCAGAGGCTGGGTGCTGCTCACAGACAGGGTTATATTCGCTGATTATTGAGATTGTAGGTTTCCAGTTATTAAACCTGTTATGTCTAGGTGACTCATGCAGTAAGGGGTAATGAAAAACTATTGAGAGCAGCCCAGAATTATTTACGCATCGAAAATGGACTAAGTGCACAATAAATTATATTGAGAGATGCAACATTGACCCTTATTAAGACGAACAATGATATCTTATAGCCAGGATCTCTAATGATTAGCACTTGGAGCTGATTTTATTATTATACTTAACCCTATAGACTTGTTTTCTAGGTGAACCGTGTGATGCAGTAATAAATGAGATGGTTGAAATCCTATAAGCTTGGTTTCTAGTGGACAGTACGAGATAATAGCAAATGAGGTGATCAAAATCCTATAGGCATAATATCTAACAAACACGGTGAAGCGAATTGAAAGAAAGTCCAGTGACATTTGTTCCTATGGGCAGATTTTCTAATAACACGTAGCAGCAAGAATAATTGTAGCATTTGAGATCATGCTTTGCTAGTAGACAAGTAGTGTGAGTGTGTGTTTTTCCTAATGGCATGATTTCTACAATGTGCATAGAGAGTGAATGCCACATATAGTAAATATATTACCAAGTCCTACAAGCATGTTATCTACTCGTTGCATGTAGGCATTAAATTCTATCCATTCCCTTTTAACTAATACCCTAATTATTTATAGAGAAGGTTATTACAGGCCCAATAATGAGGGGAAAGCATGAATGTTACATAACAGTGAACATGCCTACAGTATGCCCAAATAAAATAACTAAATACCCAACATTGCTGGGCCTTCAATATCTCTTATGTAGCATACCCAGGCTTTCAACAAAAGCCACGTTCAATACACAACCCAAAGGTTCATAGATGAGTCCAAACCAAATTACTTAACCGCAGCATCAAGTGTTGCACCACTTTGAACAACCAATACATGCACACAGTACATGACAGAGAAATAGGATAGTAGGAACAGTTCTGGAGGTTGAGGGAGTGACTAGGACCAAGCCCTAGTGTGTCAGAGTTCACTAGGGCCTCAATTGGACCCTGAGCAGTGCTCACACTAGGGAGGCCAACAATAGAACCTAGATAGCCTTGGCTTTCAGCCGGCTAAGAATGAGAATTCAGAATAGTAGAGTAGCAAGCAAGGAGAGTGGTTAGTGATAGAGGAATAGGAATCAAGTAATACACCAAACTGAGCATACAAGGTAACTAGTTAGGCAGGCCAATAGGTTCAGCAAAGTATACATTGTAAAGTACCACATAGACAACCTTATATTGAAGGAATTAGGAGAAGAAATAGGTTTACAAGCATACATGAAATTAAACTAGTTGAGACCTAAAGATCCAAATTAAGTTGAGTACATCCTAGTGCCGTGTTAATCAGCATGTAGACATGATGAGGCAACACATACTGTGATAATCATTGAAAGGACAAGGTAGCAAATGAACCAAAGCATACTGGGTAACTCATTAGCATAGAAAGTAAGGTCATAGTTGATAACAAGAACAGAGGGTTTATCTTAAAAATCAGGACAGCCAGGAAACATGTTTAGAGCAAATTTTAAGACAGTATTCCATATAGTACACAAAGGACACTCAATCAAACACAAGACTCATCACTTAAAGGATTCATTCAGGGGGGGGGTGATTTCTATGAGTTGTAGTGAGAGAGGAGAGTAGTGAGAACAATAGCAGCAATTAGGCGATTTCCAAAGTTTGACGAAGGGGATTTAGGGGAGGGGTTAGTAGCAGATTCAACACAAAAATAAGGAAATACGGTAGATAAAACACAGAATAAGGAAAATATAGCATGCGAGAATCAATTAGAATCAGTTTTA